AAACAAACAAAAAACCCCCCCAGAACTTCTTTGCATACATCTGGAGCTTAGACCATGACTTTGCTCCTCCTCCAACCGATCAGTTACTTAACTTTATGCCAACGGGTACCCAGACCCCAAAATTCCTTTGAGGTGGTTGTATTGAAAATGTGAGCTTGGCAGACAGATTATTCTGTCCACGCAGGCATGCTGTAACCAAGAAGGCTGCTTGCCAGCTGGTTTTTGCATGTTCTGGAGACTCCAGATGTCACGCTGTGCCCCCTGAACATCTCAGCAATGTGCAAGTGTGGGAGGCTATTATACAACTAGATAGGTGTGTAACTACAGAGTAAGATGCAGACTAATAAGTATGCAGGAGAAGAAGGTACCAGGTAGCAAGAACAACTCTACATGCTGTTGCCTTAATCGGATGTGGTAGTGAAGGGGGGGGGGGGAGCTGAAGAAGTCTTCCATATGTTTGCAGTTACTGTGACCATCATGTAATAAATTAAATTAAGATCTTGGAACAGTGTTTGAGATTTCCCTCACCAGCTATCAGTGACTATATGCTCTGAACATTTCAAAGTACAAAATCAGTCATCATTTCACTCCAATAAAATATAATGGACAGGGGAAGAAGTACTTAGCACCATGTACCAATACTGTGGAGAGGCAGCTAGGGCAGGAGTCAAGACATAAGGTCTGTTCCTGACTGTTATTGATCCTCCTATGTGACTATCACAAGTCATTTAACTTATCTTGGCCTCAGTTTCCTGGGCAGTACTATGGGGCTAGGGATGAAGCATGCTACATAAAGAATCTGCTATCAGCACCCATGCTTGCAGTTGCTATGCTACTGTGACCATGTGTAAACTACAACTCCTACAATTCATTTCTTTGTTAATAAAAACTAGATAAAGCTGTCTCAGGCTTCCAGCACTCTAGAAATTTCAAGAAAACAAAGCACTTAGATACACACCAGTACCCCATTAATTTTGTCCTGTTTATGTGAATGACCCAAAATACCTGCAATAGAGTCACTGCATTCTGCCTCTGCAGACAGATTCTGTGCTATAGTTTTTCACATTTTTGTTAAAGCAGAACTCTTATTTAGATAAGTCATAGTGAACAGGAGATGCTGTATTTTGCAGTGTATAAGTCGAGTTTTGAAGCCCAATTTTTAACTCTTCAACCTTGACTTATACACTGTATCATCATCCCCTGCGAGCAGCACTGGGGTCCACACCTGCACGCCCCTTACTGTGGGCTGGGCACATGGGGAGCAGTGCTGGGCTCAGTGCTCATCTGGTAGCGCCACTCAAAGGATGAGGACATACCAGCTGTGCGCCAAGTCCCACCCTGCCCCCTGCGAGTGGCGTATGTCCACACCCCCAGGTGCCCAGTCCACAGTGAGGATGCTCAGGGGCCAGTATAAGTCAATCCCATACTTCTGATCCAAAAAGTTAGGTTGTTTTATACACCAGATCTATGAAATTCCTAACTTTTTGGATTAGAAAAATGGGATTGACTTGTACAGTGTCAACTTATACACTGTGAAATATGGTACATTCAGCTATCCCCTCAACCAAGTTCATTTTGTTCATGGAAGCTCCTCATCTGTCCGTATGTCACCACTCCATCATGGATGCAGCAGTTACCCCGACACTACAGATTTTTGTCTCAAACCTATGCATTTACTGGGTTTGGTGGCCTCCTCACCACCCTGAAATACCTCTCCAAGACTCTGGAAGTAACAGACCAGCTAAAAATATAGCATGAGCCCTTAATTTACTACTTCAGTGTTCCAACTGAAACTTAACCATTAGAAGACACAGTCTGCATCAGGATTTCCTGTACCCAATTTATTCTGCTTCCCTACTTGCACTGAAATACTGGTGGAGGAAGTGGGCTGGGAAAGAAATGTACAGCCTTTCACTTCTAAGGCACCAGCTCACACAATTACTGCAGAGCTGGAGGAATAAGGCAGAACTTTCTAGCAGCCTATGTAAGTGAGGTTGGGAGGAGGCTGGTCTACTTTTAAATAGGCAGAAATCCAACATTATAACCAGCTTTCTTAGGAGCACCTTGAGAAGGAAGCTTACTCTGCCACTACTATGCCTTACCTGTTGCAGGATAACCAAAGAACTTCAATCACCTATATCCATATTCATGGAACTGTATTATTGACACTCCCCAGAGCTCCATTTCCTTTCACTCTATAAGCATTTGCACCTCTTGTTTGACCACAGATCCTTCTGCCTTGATTTTTAAGAACACTAAATTCTGCAATTCCAGAGGAGTTTGGCCTTGGTGTAGTTTCTCATGGTGGCAGCACCTTCACTTGATCCTTACTTGTTCCCTGTCCATGAGGTCCAAAACGACATTCTCAGCAACTCCAACTCTGCTGCTCACAGTTTTGATTCATCCTTACCTGCCTCATACACTTTTCTGATACATAAAGAACTTCTTGTGTTTAAAAAAAAAAATATTTATTTAAAACAAAACAGCTAGCCAGGGGGTTGCTGGAGGGAGGGTAACAAGTCAGATTAAAAATATGTCCAAAACCTGTTGGAAAAAGTAATACCTTCCCCTATAGAAGCATGAGACTCACTGGCATGCAGAGGCCAGTCCCAGCCATTGCTAGAGCTTCCCACCAGCAACATCTCTGCTCGCACTGTCTTGGGGTGATTGTCCCATCAGTGTCCAATACTGAACTGTCTGGAACTCTCATCTCTAGAACTCAAAACTTCCAAACTGGGAGGAACGGTTGTTGGGTTTGGGCTGAGGTTTGTAACCAATTCGGTCATTTATCATTTGTTCTCTGCTCTTGTGGTCGTTGCTCAGTCCAATAGCTCCTTCATCATTCGCTCCTACTACATCCACATCTTCACGCTGCTTCTTGCGGCTCTGCAAAAAAGAATGACGACCCATGAAAACCAGGGCACAGGGAACGCAACGACACTGTCAAGGAGAGAGCCTTTTTCAATTCTTATTGCTAACTCTAGAGGGAGCCCTGAAACTGTGAAACTAGGGAAACGTTAGGCAAGCTGATTTTATTATAGACAAGCAGCCTGTCAACCTGTTCCTGCCCCGGGCAGGGGGTCGGACCTGATGATCTGTTTAGGTCCCTTCCAACCTTAAGTACTATGATACTATGAACTGGACAACTTCACTGGGTTTTTCTGGATAGCTCTACAGCAAGGGTGTTACACATATAGCACATGAGTCAGATAGTGTCCTGGGACTTCTTGCTGTGGCTGCAAGAGCTGCTGTGTCAGTGCAGTTGGCAGCTATTGGGGTAACATAAAGGCTGTGGGAGGCAGCCAAATTTACCAACTGCCAAATTCACCATTTTCAATTGCTGCATTAATGTCCCTGCCACTGGAGGAGGTGAGGCAGCAGTGTTAACATCTTGTATGCTGGCAGGAAATATAGCTTGCCTACTGATTTGAGTTGGACACCCCTGATCTACAGTATGTTTGCCCTAAGTGTTAAAGCACAAGTCACAGCACTGAGGCACTTCACAGATCACACCTAAACAAAGATACAAGTATCACTTCACAGGTTGGATACTACCCGCTATGTGGCAAGGGCCTGCATATTAAGACAAATCTTGCAATCCACTAAAATGGCAGCTCTCATCCCCATAACGTGTTCAGAAGTGAACCTACTCCCGTCACAATGGCAACTGCTTCCAGAGTGGAGGAGGAAGACAAGTATATTCTGAACCAGAGCTGTCCAAACTGGGCATGGCTGGGGGTTACTTGTAGCAGCAGCAGCCCTTCTAGGATTCTCCCCCACTGATATGAGCTGTACCTGTGGCATGTGCCCCCCTCCACAGCATGGACTGTGCCAGCAGCACGCACACCCCCACCCAGGTTTTGCTCGTGGTACGTGGCCTCCTCATCATCCATACCCATGGTGCATGGACCTCTTGGCCTTTCCCTGCCACATGGCAGTGGGAAAGGTGGCCAACAGAGCCCACAGGCCATATTTTAACTATCCCCATACCGCCAGTGGGACAGCCCTGTTCTCAATTATGGGCTAGCACTGCAGTTAAGAATTTCAGTTACTTGAGTGTTACAATGCTACAAAGGCCTCTACAGCACTGCTAGAGCTCCATGATTCCCAGCTAAGTAGTCTCTAGTCTGAGAAGCTCAACTGGGATGTGCCAGTCGGAGTGGATACAGTGGGGTGGAGTTTTAAACTTTGATTGTGTTGACTAGGGAGTCTGTTGTTGCATCTTATTTTGTGGGTTGTTTATCTGCTGCTGTACACCACTATGAGCATTTCTAGATAGAGCAGAATAAACATCTAAACAACAAGTTTTCAATGCATGTCATGTGCATGTCCCCACAGCTCTGCTGATTTTAGAACTAAATTGAAATTCACAATCACTCCTTACCAACCTCCCCAAAATAGACAGAACCTCTCTGCATCCACCCACTCCCTTAGGAGAAGCCTGAGCAGCCAGGTAGGTTTCGGACTGTTCCTCGTGTGCGACAATATTGCTTCCAGAGGGAGCAGACTCCAATGTCTGTATTCTTATTGCGCATACAGGGCCCCATAGGTACCAAATTAGGTACTGTCAAGCCAGGTCTGTTTCTTTCTACCACTAAATTAAAGTAAGGGTAAAGAGGAAGGTATCTCAATGTAGCACCCAAAGTAGACAGATAAGAACGTAAGAACTGCCATTTACTGGACCAGACCATAGGTCTGCCAAAGCCCACATTTCCTTTGTGTGTCCAATAGGCTTGTGTCACACTGATCTACCAGACCAGGAAGAAGGCTCTGGCCGGGGGGCAGCCAGGCAAGTGTGGGGCTGTCTTCCTTTTGTTCTTCTGCTAGCGTCTCCAGGCAGAATATCACCGATCAGTGTCTACAGCAGGGGTGTCCAACCTTTTTGGATGTGGGGCCGGACCATGAACTTTTTATCACCCAGTGGGCCAGCAAGCCATATTCAAAGACCTCACAGGAAGTGGTATCACATCAGGAAGTGATGTTACATGACCTTTGACACCAATGAAGTTGCAAGAAGTGACAATGAAATGGGTCTGGAAATGTGGTTTAAAATCCAAAATAAAAACAATATAAAAGCAACAATGAAATAATACCAAACACTTGACTAAAATAAATACTTAGGTTACAGCAGCAAGCTATTTTGGCATTCCTCCCTTGTCGGCCTGGCAGCTTTGCAGGGAAAGGCGCCAGGCCTTGGGTGCTGCTTGGTGCCTCGGCCATATTTTGCCCAAACCCATCCTCCCAGACACTCACTGCTTGGAAAGAAACAGGCTGGAATCAGGGGCTAAGCAGGACATACCCAACCCCCTTCCGGCTGCCCTGGTCCAAGTTCCTCAGAGTTTTGCATCCTATTATTATTTTTTAAAGGTGGAGGTGGCAGAGACCTCTCGCCCGTACCGCACAAGGCATCTGAGACAGAAGAGTGCCCGTTCTGCTGCCCTGGTGGCTGTGGACACTGACTTGGAGCGGGAGGCGAAAGGTCAGGGATGCCCCTGGCTTCCCTGCATTGTTCTCTCGCCTCCTCCAGGTGAGCCCTCTCTAATGCAACCTTGTATTAATTTTTATTTTTTACTTTTTGGGCCCCTGTGCCCCCTTGACCGTGTCCGTACAGGCTGGGAGAGAGATGGCCTCCATCTGCGGTGTTTGGTGGCTCTGGGTCAGGGGTGCAGCTGCAAAGCAGCCGAGTTGGTGCAGGGTGGCCCGCGGCCCTGTGTGGGCAGAGCTGTCTGCTCGGGGGCAGCTGGAGGGGTTTAGTTTTCTCTTCCTGGATACAAGCCTGGCTAAGGTGGCCCCTGACCAGTGGCAGCTGGCAGGCTCCGGGGCTGGGGGCTGTTAGCCGGAGCCCAGCTGCCCAGGCCTTTCAGCAGCACACGGCGCTTTTGGCCTCATGGCTGCAAGCAGCAGCCAGGACTGGGAGCAGCCAGCAGGACAGGAGCGCGGTGGTCTCAGGGCCCCTGGCCCCACCCGCAGCAGCCAGCTTCTGCCTCAGGCTGAGGCGAGGCCGCCGGAGGAAGCAGTGGCAGGTCCTGCCCGAGCTGTGCAGCACCGGGCTCTTCCCCCCAGCTCTTCTCTGGCAATGGCAGCAGGTGCCGCAACCGCTGCCCCACATACCAACACTGACGCCGGGCGGCCCCTCCACAGCCGGGAGCCAGGTAACACTGCGCCGCCCCCTGCAGGCTCGCCTGCCCTCTCCCCCTGCCGCCCTCCCTCCTCTCCCCGGCGGATACAGGAGCCCCTGCTGCTCCGGCTGGGCTCATCCTGTCCCGAGCGGCACATGGCTGCTACTCTTCCCACATTCACTGCGTCGGCAATGTCAAGCTGATGTAGTACATGTGGGAACCTTGTCCCTTCCCCGGCCCTTCAGCAGGCATTAGGAAGCTGCTGAGGGGCTGGGGGAGGGACAAGGGGTGGGAACAAAAGTAAACAGTGTTTACTTTTGTTTCCTGTTGCAACACCATGGGCCACAGAAAATGCCTTGGCGGGTCGCATGTTGGACAAGCCTGGTCTACAGGCTCCCTCTGCTCATTCAGCTGGCAGCGGGCACTGGCTGGTGCACACTGCTCCAGTGTCCTCTTCTGGCTCCTTTGTTATGAATCTGTGACCTCTCTCCCTCTCCTGGTTTTATCACAGAATCATAGAAAATGAGGGTTGGAAGGGACCTCAAGAGGTCATCTAGTCCAACCCCCTGCTCAAAGCAGGACCATCCCTATCTATATTATCCTTGCCAAGGCTTTGTCTAACCAGGTCTAACCCTCCAAGGATAGAGTCCACAACCTCTCTGGATAACCTGTTCCAGTGTTTTATTACCCTCCCAGTGAGAAAGTTTTTTCCTACTATCTAACCTAAACTTCCCTTGCTGCATCTTGAGACCCTTGCCCTTTGATTTGTTATCTGCCACCACTGAGAACAGTCTAGTTCAGGGGTGGGCGATGATTTTGGCTAGAGGGCCACTTAATCACTTCTGCTGAGCTGTCAAGGGCTGCACATCTAAAATCTTTTAGAAGATATAATTTTAATGAATTATAAATAAAAAACAAACTTATACTAAAATCAAATTTCTATTATAGCATATTTTAATTTTATTTAAAAAAATATTTTTTGTCCTCATTTTTTTTTTTGAGTAGCATATATAGAGGCGACTGCATAATAGCTCAGAATACAGTAGAGGTGCATCGATACATTGGTCTGATATTGGATCAGCACCAATACCAAGAAAATTGTCTGTAACAGAAATCAGCCTTTTGTGGCCAATAAATGGCCCTTGTATGTGCACAGCCACAGTGCAGCACTTAGGCAGTGAGGAACACAGCCTGGGCAGTGTGGACAGCTGTGTGCAGCTGGTAAGTCTGTTGGGGTGGAAGGGGAGCGGAGATGGGGGCAGATCAAGGCCCCTGCGGTAAGAGAGGAAGTGAGACTGGGGCAGGTGCTTCCCAGCTGGGCATGGCACAGTCACAGCTTGCCTGGGGGGGTCTTGGGAAGGGGGGAGTGGCTCCTGCCTTGCACACTGCTCATTTGGGAGCCGCTCATCCAGTGGCTCCAGCCGCTGCTCCCATCTGGGAGGGCATGGGGGGGGTCTGTCCCCTTATCTGTGCAGAGAAGGGTGGGCCAGGGCTGGACCAGGCTGCATTTGGGGAGGGCAGCAGCACTGGGAGGGGGCTATGGGGGGGGGAACTACAGCAAATTTTGGGGTGGCTGCAGCCCCTCCAGCCCACTCCCACTGCCGCCACCACCCACAGCCTAGTCCAGACCCCTGCTGGGAAGAGCCCAGTGCTGCCACAGTCCCAGCCTCCCTGGGAGGCACACACCCCCACCCCCGTGTCCTCCGGGAGTGTACACAGCAGTGGGAGCTGCCCCCACCAGGGGAGCTGCAGCTCCGTCCTGTGCCC